TTTTCAACGATTGGTGGGATCTCGATGGGCGTGCGTTCGGGCTCAGCTTCGGACATTTGGAGACCTCTAAGTAAACAAAGGCAATTACACTATGTGGGCATACGCAATAGCTCTAATGCATGTGTCCGTGCGTCCGAGAGCAAATCTCTCTTCTTGATGGAGTAGATATGCTAAAACAAGCATGCGTGTGTCCACGTTCTTTCGATTGAACACACATTAATTTTCATTCGTGCATGCGTGTACGTGTGGGCTTGTTTTCGTAGATCTGTGGATGGAGGTATTGTTTAAAGAATATTATGAAGTCCAATTAGGATCTGTATGCAATTCGTTTCATTTTGGTTTCTAACCTCAAGGAGAGCAACTCATTGCCCCTTCTTGGGCTCGCGTTTTTCCACTGACATAAAGTGGATTGATTATATTGAATCAATTGCTACATCTACTGCTAGGAAATTTGGTTCACGGTGTCGTGCAAGACAATTTTACTCGTCAGAAACATATTTTGCGCATTTATAAATCTAACGTTCTTCCGTGACAATACTGCTGACTTATCTGGTTTGGTGCTTTTACTATGTATCTCGATATTCTCGACAAAATCCAAAGAAGCATCTGTAATATAATCAGTCCTGACCTGGCACCTCGACTTCAGTCACTCTCCCACCGCCTTGACGAGCCGCCCCCCTGGCAATTTTCCGATCCGAGAGCAACTAGCTATTTTCGTGGCAATTACTCTGACGAGCTTTCTTTCTTGGTATCTCGACTGCGTGAATTTAAGCATACATCTAAATTGGCAACCAGATCTCAACGTTTTAATGTTGAACTAATTAGGTGCAACAGTAAATTTTATTCTAATAGTTCTTTTTCTCGAAATTCTCACCTGTGGGACTATCTTTCAGTTTCTTGATTCCCTGCCAACTACAATTTTAAAGAAATTAAATGCAACGTCAATCGTCATCATCTTTTTTTCTGAAACCTGTTCTTTTATTGTCCTTTTTCCTCTCTAAAGTATTCTCATACTTTTTTTTTACACCCAGTAACGCTTGTATCTTAATGAAATTAACGCCTTGATTGGAGTGAAATAATATATATATATATATATATATATATATATATATTGTGCATTTAGGCAGTAATCCTTCTTTCATGCAGATTTCATTGAATACGACAGACAAGGTGCTTTGATTTAGTTTTTTACACAATTTCCCATGCGAATTTTTTTTTCAGATGATAAATTATATAAAAACTGTCCGAATGTTTTTTTAATTCGAGCGCTTTCGGCTATAGATTTAGACATTTTCAAGGATGAAATATTTTAACTGTTAAATAAGAAATAGTTTGTTGCATGTATGTATTTATATAATGTTTTAATTTTTCAAAACACGGTCAAGATATTGTGTCCATGTTCATAGTTGATATTATTAAATGTTGCTTTTTTTTTTGCTTTTATTTTTTAAGGCTTCCATTATTTTTAGATTTTTTTTTCATGTAGATGATGTTATTATATTTGTGGTGTTAACAAGTATGTTACAGATAGGGTCCGATAGGTCTCCATGAATATTCAAATGAGATCTAATTTAGCTTTGATCAGAAAGGTGTAGAGTGAGTCGTCATGTCAAACATGTTGTAGTGTGGACTACATAATTATTTACGAATTTTGATTGATCAAGAATACAATTCCTTAATGGGCATTTAAATTTTTTATTCGGACATTTTTTATATAATTTATCATCTGAAAAGAAAAAAATTATTAGATCGCATGAGAAATTTGTATAAAAAACTAAATCAAAGCATCTTGTCTGCAATATTCAATGAAATGTGCATATATATATATATATATATATATATATATATATATATATATATATATGTTTGAATAAAAGACAGACCACGTTAAGATTCCATGTAATAAGCTATTTCACCATAACCCCTTTTACAGGGTTCTGGATCATCAGACTTTACTTCCAAAAGTTGAAATGAAGAATGAAAAGAAATTCACACGTTTTTTACGGACCTCATCAAGTATACGCAAAGTTAACGAAGTGAGAAAGTGAGGTGGGAGAGAGGATATGAGTGTGTCATATGTATCATTTTAGTTTCCTATTTTAACCCCAGTGTGTCGGATGGATGTTGCTCAAATCTAACGCGTCTCGTCTCTAGATAAAGGTGGTTAAGGGGTGAGCGATAAGGACTACATTAAGGAAGACGTTACAACAACCCCAATAAATTACACGACAGGTTTCATTCAAATATTAGACGCTGTCAGTTCGCGTTACTTTAACGTACATATTTGGGAGGTAAATGTCAACCTAACAAGCTATAAGATAAAAGTTTTAGTGGAAAAAGTACTAAATATAAATTGGATTACTCTTTCAATGTTCTGTCTATGGATTTTTCCAATCGACTGCTTCATAGAAAATACCCAAAACTCCACCGAATTTCAAATTAATTTCTTCGTAGATTGTTTTAAAATTTAGATATTTATCAAACCTTAACCTTGTTTGAATTTACGAACAATGTTTTCAAATGCACTCTTGAAAGTTTAACACTTTGATTGTTAATCTTTCTGTGGTTGAAATTGCCAAAGACTTAAGTTGTTAAATCTGAAAGAAAAAGAAAAAAAAAATGATTAACGCTTAAACTTAATTGACATTTAAAATCAGTCCAAGTTATTGGAACACTCTTAATAAGAAAAAATAGAAATCGTATGCTGAGGTTACTAAGATCTACGTTAAAATGGAATCTCATGTCTCTCGCATAACGTTTATTATTATAGTTTCCAACTAGCTATGGGTTATATAGCAAATTCCTTAGCCTTGGATGAGAATCCACCAAAAACAAGCAGAAACTAAAGGGAAATCATTTCAACATATTACCGAAGAGTGCATAGTAATTCACAGATAATAAAGAAAAGATAGCTGTGAAGAGTCATAGCCACCCGTTTCATAAAAGAACATGGCATTTAACGGTTTATTACAAGTTTACTCTGTCTTCAAAATGACAAAGAATTAAGAACTTAAGAATCGTTCCCGTGTCGTCTGTTGCGTTTAGATTTTCTCAAATGAATCCATTTTTTCCACTTCAGTTATATGCAAAATATGAGGGTAGGCTCTTTAGCATTGGGTGACAACTATTCTAAGAAACGGACAACTCACAATTCATAATAAATAAAGCAGAGGGATGTGCGGGTTAGTGGCTCTCGGATCGGGAAATCGACGGACCGAGTTCGAATTCCAGTCGAGTTTGTTACGTTCAGTTTCGGAAAGGTATGGATATAAATATACAATTTTGAAAGCGGAATAACATATATTTTTATTACTTCAGTGCTCCCAAGAAAAATCAAATTTCAGCATTAAATGACCCATAAGGTTGTTGATATGCCGTTAAACAAACAAATCAATACGCCACTTTTAACCTCAGATATTAGTTAAATAGTAGGGTAAACTGGGCTCTTCAGACTTGATTGGCAACCAGTCTAAGAGAAGAAAAACTCTAAATTCCTAAACGCTAGTAGATGGAAATCGTTAGCGTGGGAGCACGTGTCCATCTAAGGAAAGGAAAAGCCTGAAAGAAAACCATCCCTTTCTCAGGGCTGAGCGTGGCGCCTATCACGCAACTCCATGGAACAATTCGCTCACAGAAAAATACGTTACAGGCTTTATGTACCACGAGGCATCGGGTAGATAACGTTTCATTTAAAAAGGAAGCTGTCGAGAGCCGCTGTGTTTGCATCATGAAATGACATAAAGAGATATTAAAACGTAATCGTCAATTTAAATTTTCAGTCGTTGTTGTACAAATTAAAAAAATCTCATAGTGTGCGTGTTCTATTGGTTGGATATTAACAGTAAAAAATCGAGATTTCTTTTCATTAAATAATTCGTTCTTATAACCAAAATACTCGAGAGTGCTTTATCAGATTGATCTGCAATCATTTAAGCTGTTATCATCATCATCATCATCATCATCATCATCATCAAAACTGTTTCGATTTGAGGTCATAAATTAACATGTTCTCTCATCTTCAGTGACATTGTCTACTGATTTGATAATAATTTGCCAGCCTTCTCTGTTCTCAATATTTATTGCATTTTAAAAACACAATTATGGCACAAGGCCGAAAAAGGGAAGGGGTTGAGGCTGGTCTTAACTAACTATCCTATACTTAACTAATCCGATTCACGGCCCATTCATACATTACAATTTCCACATTCACCACAAGAACTCGTCCATCACCAATCAATCCTCCATACACCATAATACCACATTCTCTCTAGGGGGACCCACAAAACGCGCCCTATGCCATAAAAATTTAATGATACTAAAATATATATAAAAATCTATGATGAAAAAATGAGAGGGGAGGGAGATGAACCCCATAACAAACTAAAATATTAACACAAATCAAATTAAACATAACTGATGTTAGTAAGGCTCGTCCAACCCTAAAAACAGAGAGGCCGCTGTATTCTGCCCATTGGACAAAATCAGCCTTCTCTATTCTCTGTGAGTTTGCAGATTCGTAGCAGATGTTCCTTGTAAACTTCTTCAAAGAAAAAGTGGGATTTTTTCTGCCTTATTCTTTGAATGTCTTGGTTCAACGTTTGAAGTCAGTCTTTTCAAAGTAAAACTCCATGGCTTGATCATGACGTTGGAAGTTCAATAGCATTTTCCGAATACTGTCTTTCGCAGTATGCAACGTCTTAAATATATAATTACTGAGTATCAGTAACTGGAGCAGACATTAACTACTCAGATGTTATGCTTTTAATAAATTAACGCAGAGCTACAATTGCGTCTCTAGTTTTGTAGAACTGAATCGCGCTTTTGGTCAGCGTTTGAACACGCGACCAGCAGAGATCAAATTTGAAAATTTAACCGGCTGAGAAAGGAAAAGAACGAGTCGAAAAGAACAAAAGCAGATATTGAATGAAGGATTTTTACAAATTTGGAGGAGCTGAATTAAAGATCGAAGAATGCGACCAGAAGCATTTGGCCGGCAACATATGAGAATATGCAATCGATTCTCTAACAGTCGCAGGAACCAACCCACGGCCAGTTGCAGTATGCACCGGAAGCCAGTTAAAACAAACGCCGGCCAACGGAAATCACTTAGCGACTCGGAATTGCCGGAAGATGTTGAATTTTATGATGAACTTTTTCGTCGGGATTTTGCTTTAGGTCAGGGGTCAAGAAATATGGCTGAAGAACCAGATATGTCTTCTCTGTCCCTGCGAGCGGCCGAACAGTCAATGGAATTTCCACTGATCGAACTTTTGGAAATCTACAGACGGCAACACGGCTTGGAGTGTCAGTCTTTAAAAATACGACCGCAGGAACGAGACGGCAATTGTTTCTTCCGGTGTCTGTCGGACCATTTTACAGGACGGCCCGACAATCACCTGGTTTTTCGCAAGTTGGTTGTAGAATACCTGAAAAGTCTATACATTGACAGACACCCAGTACCACTACCCGAAATATCTGTCGAAGAACACGTGGAATACATGCTGCAACCAAACACTTGGGCTACAGAATGTGAGATTTATGCTGCTGCACATATGTTTAATCTCCGGATTGACATTTTGACGGGAGGCCGCGGTTCGCCTTATATGTGGGCCACAACCGTCCCGATAGACGCTGACCCCAGCTCAGTCCTGAAATGTCTTCGGCTTCTTCACCGTGACAGAGTACATTTCGACCTTATTCAAGAGGAATGGTAAAATCAGGATCTCTGCAAAGCGGGCATTACAAATATAGCGACGACATTTATATATATATATATATATATATATATATATATATATATATATATATATATCTTCAGACGCCTATCTACGCTCGTGGTATTAATTTTCTTTGGGGATTAAATATATACGTATTTTGTTGCGTGGGAGACTTGTGCAATGTTTTAACGTACTTTGATAGTGAGAGGATTACAAACAGGATGACTGGCGGTGGAACGGATGCAGCAATAAAAAGGAGAGTAAGCAAAGTGTTAAGTCTTTAATGCCGGTTCAGTTTTTGATGTTAGATAACTTTGTTATCTTTGAAAAGGAATTTTTTTTCGTTTGCGAGGGGACTTATTTTTATGAATTTGCGCTTGCTTCTCGAATAAACAGGGGGTGTCAAATAGTGTGTGTTGGGGCTCTTAATTTTCAAAATTTTAATAAGCGTAATCCGTAACATGTTCATTTAAAGCACAATTCTCATTCTCTACACTTGCTTCAAAAACAAACGTGGCTTACGGCCATATCTCGTTCAAACAACGGTTCCCTTACGATCACTAAAGCTAAGCAACGTCAGTATCTAGATGGGTAACCGCTTGGGAAAACCAAGTGCTGTAAGTGGTGTAATGGTTAAGGAGTCGGGATTGTTAACGTGGGAGCCTAATTCCATTTTCAGTTAGGTTCGTTTTATTCACATAGGCGTAAATGCGCTTGGGAAAAAGTATGTATTTTCCTCCCAACTATGGGTTAATTAGTAAGATTTTTTTTCACTAAATCATTATTATCTTCAAAAAATTCTTACAATCTAAAAATATTTTCTGGCTTTAAATAACCTGCAAACGACTGATAAGCCGTAAAAACCAAGATCAATCAATCAAATAAATGTGGTGGGTACGCTTATCAAAATTATGAAAATTAAGAGACTTCACGTTTTATTTGCTCCTTATTCTGCATTCTTGGCTGTCGAATAAACGGGGGAGGTATGTTTATTAAAATCTTTGAAAATTAAGAAAGCCCCGCGCCTCACTTTACTTGAAAAAGTCCAGTTTGTTCAAGAGGCAAGAGTACATAATATGGAAAATTACTTTTGTCTCTCGAATGAATGGATGATGTACGTATATATATATATATATATATATATATATATATATATATATATATATATATATATATATATATATATATATATATGAAATGTGAACGAATCGAATATAAATTCCAACGTTTGTAACATTAATTTAAAAGAGAGCTCAATACAATCACTCAGTAGAGCAATATTCTTATTGCATTCAAACGTAAAATAACTGCATAAATGCAATCATGTTTCGATGTGTATCAACACATCTCATCAGGCGTTAGCAAATGACTCTAACGCCTGATGAGATGTATTGATAAACATCGAAACATGATTGCATTTATGGAGTAGCAGTATTTTACATATTCGAATGCAATATCCTATAATAACAAATATATATATATATATATATATATATATATATAAATTACAATTAAGAATCCCCCACTGTATTTTATTTGAAACCTCCTCCAAGTAGAGTCAACATTTTGATTTGTATACGAGGTCGGAGATTTGATTAGACTCATGCTAAAAGCCGGGAACTTGAACGTTTCACTTTATTTCAGTCAGGTAATATGACGTTTATAAGTAGAAAAAACTAATAAAAGAAAACCTGGATATTTTTTTTTTTAATCACTCCCAAATAATGTAAAGTTATCGCAAATATTAATTCATCCCAAGAAATTATACATTTTAAATCAAAGTTTTTTTTTTTTTTTTTTATTAAATTTTTGGCGCTCTTTTGAAATTCTAAATTTTAAATCAAAATTTGTTTAGCATGCCCTGAAGGTTGCTGGAGAAAATACAAGAATGCAACGATAAGGAGAGCGGCGTTTTCGCTTCTACCAAAGATTAAATCTTAATACGTCGATGAAAAGAAATGTCTAAAAGACATTATATGAGTTTGAGTTTAACAGATCTACACGATAGATGGCGCTACTGTCTTAGTGTATACCGTGGAGATAAGCCGCTATGGAAAGGAAACTGGCTTCAAGGATCACGATTTCCCGACCATAAAATCATAAAATATTTACTAGTGTACCCGTGCCGTCAAAATTAGTAATATGTATTATATTGTAATTTTCGTTTAATCTAAGTACAATTCTTTTCTGTGTAACAGTTGAGAGGAAGTGTGCAATATAACGATGACCCACCCGTTTTTGAAAAGAAAAAAGATCTTTAGTTAAAAAAAAAAAAATTATGAGAGATAAAGATGAGTTACGGACAACATTAGTTGTTCTGAATATTTATTTTACGAATTTATTAGGTTGGTGCAAAAATAATGTCGTTTTTGACGTTAAGTTGAACGTCAAAAAACGACATTATTTTTAAAACCAACCTAATAACAGCATTTTATTTCCTTTTCAGTGCCAATTAGGAAGAAATAAATAAACATAATTTATGTTCGTATGTGAGAAACAATGAAATATTGTTATACTTTTCTTTTTTCTTTTCAAAAACAAATATAACTTGAATTTGGGCGAGTGGGTTATCGTTTGTGTAAAAGTGTCAGTACGTGTGTGCGTGATTTTTAGTAGTAATGGGGAGGGGTACAAGAGATAGAATTTAGTTCTTACTAGTTGGAGATTCGTCTGCAGCTAAGCTAGTCGAACCCAAACGAGGCTATGCCGAAAGGCAGAGTCTCGTCTGGGGTGGTAGACAGCTACCCGACCCCGTTTTTTACGGTGTCTACGGGGATTTTTTACCCGAGCCTACGGGCTCGGATACCCCACGTTAAATTCAGCCTCGTGCCACATCTGACCGCGTGGGTGGTTGGCAAATATCCTTACTGTGAACTGTATCGCGGTTGTTCGCGGCGGTCGCTTTTTAGTTTTTCAGTGTGGTGGCTTTTTCTGTGTGGATGTAGATAGGGGTCTTGACTTCTGTGCGTATCATGCCAAATTTTTGCACACTGCATCTCAATTGTTATTTTTTGTCATTTATTTTCGGATTACGCAAGAGAGGCCACAGAAAATTAGAGCAGTTTTTTCCCGATATATGCTTATACTGTAAATTACTTTCACGAATGAGCCCCCAAATATAGTCTATGTAATCATGCTTTCGTTATAAGATCCTTGGTAGTGGCGTCCAAAGTTTTGGCGGTAGTGCTCACCTTGTTCCTCTGAGTAGGATCTCATGTCTTCCTTGAAGATGAGCGTCAAGGATATGAATTTTGAGGAACATCCTGCAGCCAATTTTGCTGTAGATCTTCAACTGGGTCTCAGCAAACTTCGCGCACTTTTCAGCCCTGTTATTCCACAAGAAGCCTCGAAGTCCAGCGACAAAACTGCTACACGCCGCGTTCTTCGTCCTAGTGAGCTTCTTGGAGAATTACTTGCACTCTATTTTTGGTCTGACAAAACAACCGGCTTTGACTTTTGCCACAGACAGTTTAGGAAGTCTTCAAGAAGTCTTGAAGGTACTTGAAGTGAACTTCTTATCTAGAGCTGGGACAAATTGTTTCATAAAGCTCAATTTTAGGGGCAGTAGAGGAAACAATACTGGGGATCCAACAGTAGCTCCAGTTTGACCTTCTTCTACTCCACACTGATCTCGGTCCGCTGTGGATAGTCCCGCTTGTGATAGTGTGCCGCGGTGTCGCTGCTATTCCAAAGGAAAAGATAATACGAAAGCTTGGTAAAGCCGCTTTAGAGAGGCATCAGGTAGGCCACAATTTTGAAGTCTCCAATAAACAACCAACCGCACTCTTCATATTTCAAAGTATCTAGCAAGATTTTGACACTGCTGTATTCCTCTATGAGCTAGACAGGAGTTAAACAGACGAAGAGATGGATACATGTTCCTGTTATGAAGCAGCACGATTTTGAGTCTTGTAGATGAGCTATCGATGAAGAGACGCGACTTACTGGTGTTACAGGCGATTCCAATTACCCCAAACACACTAGCCATATTGCAGCAGAAGCAAAGCTCATTTTGACGGATGAAAAAGCTTGAAAAACACTGGTGATGCTCTCCCTGATCTTTGACATTTTCATCTAACAAATTCCACTGATTGAGTCTCAAGGTCAAAACCTCGGCATTGAGCTTTGTGAGACCAAGTTCTTAGATCAGGTCGATGAGGTCCTTTTGGTTGGTGGAGTATGTTTTTCTCTCCTCAGCTGAATTGCGATCTTCCTAGAGAATTCCTTGATCTCTATGATCTTATTTACTTGTGGCCCGACGAAGACACCGACCGCAGACAGCTTAGGGAAGAAATCTTGAAGTTACTTGAAGGTTGCAGACTTCTTATCTAGAGCTGTGACAAATTGTTTCATAAAGCTCAATTTTAGGGGCAGTCGAGGAATCAGTGCATTCCGGGGATCCAACCGTGACTCTTGTTTGACCTTCTTCCTCCCCACACTGATCTCGGTCCACTGTGAACAGTCCTGCCTGTAGTAGTGTGCCGCGGTGTCGCTGCTGTCCCAAAGGAAAAGATAACACGGAAGATTGGTAAAGACACCTTAGAGATGCATCACGAAGGCCACAATTTTGAAGTCTCCGGTAACCATCCAACCGCAGTCTTCATATTTCAACCTATCTAGCAAGATCTTGAAACTCCTGTATTCCTCTTTGGGCCGCACCGAGTGATCCAGGGGAAGAGATGGATACATTGTCCCCTGTTATGAATTAGCACGGCTTTGAGACTCCCGGATGAGCTGTTGATGAAGAGGCGCCACTAGCTGGGATTGCAGACAATTCCAGTTACCTCGAACAGACCGGCCACATTGTGGCAGAAGCAAAGCCCATTTGACGGATGAAAAAGCTTGAACCCTCCCCCCCCAAAAAAAAAAAACAAAGAACACTGATGATGCTTTCACTGACCTGCGACTTGCAGACTTTCACTTAACAAATTCCACTGCTTGAGTTTTGATGTCAAAAGCTCGGCACTGGACTCTGTAGGACCAAGATCTCTGATCAG